CTCTATATATTATTAAAGACGAGACGTTATACTATATATTGCCTTAGTAAAATATTGAATATTTATTGCTTTATTAAATTTTAAAAACTGTGATCAGAACTTTTGGTATACCCTAAGTAAAAATCGAGATATCACAAGTTTCTGACATTCGCACAGTACATCCACCTCCGCACCCACACATAAACCATGGGATCGCCTTTTATCAAACGGTATCACTGAGCTCCAATTGCTAATTGGAACAACATTTTAGTCTCATTTCACCGTACACTTCAGAGTATTATGATGTCTTCGAATTTTGTGTGATCCCCAACAGTCGAGAACGTTGTAAATATCATCTGTAACTAACTGTCTACGATATGTCATGCTTCCACGATACCTGCAAGTAAACTAGTATTAGTCATAAGAGAGAAAACCGTTTATTTAAAAATAACGTTCCTTTTATGTGATCATTAATGTTCAAAAACTGTCTATTATGGTAGCAATTGATTATTGAACGAGGAGGCGACGATAGAATTAGCAAGGTGACAATGTCAAGTCTTTTACTTCTTTTCCTTTGCGACGATTTTATTCAGCGCCTCTTGTGCCTTTGGATCGTAGCTTTTGGTGGGATCAGCATATGGATTATGGCCATACTTGTGTGGATCTTTATCACCGCTATGAATGATCTGATTGCACGTATGCCTGTCCTCGGGTGACAAGTCTCCGTGTCGCAGTCCGGCCGCTAGTCCTACCTGTTTCGCATCGGCTTGCGTATAATGATGATAACCAGAGGACATCTAATTGAGAAACACAATTGATTAATGATGCAAATGTTTATTAGTTTTTTGTTGTTTCACGCCAACGCCCACATGCTTTCTTCAACTGCAACTCTTATCCATTGCATTCCAGTTTCAAGTCAAAATATAGGTGAGATTTACCGTGACAACTTGAAATTAGCTGATTTTGTTAAAAATCTGATTTCTTGCCTTCTGGAAAGATTCTCGAAATATATCTGAAAATAAGGGAAAGCCTCAACAAAAAAGATTCAGTTTTTTCGAAAAATAAATTAAAAAAGAAAAAAAGCAGGTCCTTTACATTACACAACGCAGTTTATTCTTCAATTAAATATTTTCTTAGAGCTCTCTAGCATGCTAAAAATGGTCAATAGAGATTTGAAATAAGAACAGTAGAAACACGAAAAACCAATTTCAGGGACACCAGAGTGAGAATATAGCTCTTCTTCTCTTTATACTTTTTCAAATGAGAACGGAGAAGAGCTATTCCTTCAGGACGCTATCATCGGTTTCATTGAGAAATATATAGCTACGAATAAACAAATAGTGAAGAGAGATTCCATGAAGAAACATCTTAAACCGCTATAGTATGACTATTTGTCAAAATAAGTTATCATTGAAAATCGTTCAGCTAAAGAGTCATAAGGAATAACTAGCAGATGAAAAATGTTGATCTCTCAAGAGCACCTATGTCATAGGTTTTACTGGTTATTTGTGAAATATGGGAACAGCTATGAACATTGTCTTTGGAAAGAAACTTCAAATTTGTTTTTGCCAGTAGACAGTACTGATCAAGTTACGTGAAACATTTAGAGAAGATTATATTCATTAAAAAGCTGTAGCATTTTGTTTGATATATTCTAAGCGCTATCTTTTGATAAACAAAAATTTCAAAAATATTAACCTGACAATGCTTTATGAGCGACTTGTCAACACTTACATTGTGGGATATCTTTCTTTTTACAACCTGCAATTCTCTATGTGTTTGTCAGAAAGTATCCTTATTTATACTGTAAGTGTACGGCTAAGTTGGAAAAAACCAAATAGATGATTTTCTTTTCTTTGTTTCTCTGAATAAAAATAAAAGCAATCGTTTCACCGTAGTGTTTTGTCTTTTCTTGTTCTGGATAATTTTTATATCATTATTAAAGAGAGAAAGTAAAGAATCATAGAAGGATAGTTTTTCATCATTTTATTTTTTTTTCCCGTCTCCATCGAGACAGTAAGAAAAAAAGAAAAACAGAAATGTTTTTCACTTTCTCTTGTTAGTTACTATTTGTTCATAACCTTCTCTACAGAAAATTATCCCTTATTCGAGCCTGATAAAAATAAATCAACTCCATGAGGGTCATAAAATTGCCTTATACGTCCTGTAAGTCCTTTTTTATCCATGAAATCCGTTTTTGCAGAGCTTATCAAATGTTATAAAACTATTAGATTGTAATTCGTTATTAGTAACAAATGTAGAATTTACATAAAGAATTGGAATAAAAAAAGAAGACACATTTCATTTGTTTTCGTCTAATATTAGGGTTCTTTGAAGTTATTTTTTTCTTTTTTTTTTCGATGTTTCTATCAAAAAAATTATATTTTTATTTGTCTTGCTATCAAGAAAATGTTATTTTGGATATTATCTCTGACTTTCTTATCACTCATTGCAAAAAATATAACCAAACTACGTAATTCGTGGAAAATTTCGACTCATGCAAAATCTATGCGAAACGAAGTACACAACTGAAGTGGAAAAAGATTGAAATGTAATATCGTCTTTCTTGATGCAGAACTTAGTGATTCATTTAGTTTGAAGAACAATCAGAAGATGCATAAAGAAATATAGATTTCTTCCACATGACGAGAAATATGAAGATGTATATCACATAATATCTTTATTTGACTTTATAACACAGAAATTATCGAGAGACAAGTTTTGCGATTTCAAGATTATGCGTGTGTATCGAATACACGGAGAAGCCACGAACGACTGTTTGTCTCGGACCACCCATCCGATAGCAGACTGGCAACATTGATGACATACACGAAAGTTCTTGTGGCTATTATCTGAATAGTAACTATTTATGGGAAGTTTAAGTGATTAAATGGGAAGAACTCTGAGTCAAGGCAACTTTCTATCCAGAGATACAGCTGGTAATAGTTGTAGAAAAATATCAGACCTTCAAACTGTCTTCGGACAACATCCTATACCACAAGGTAGTCGACATGCAGGGTATTCTTATTTCCATATTATTTAATTGCAGTCCAAAAAATATACGTCATTTGTTTTTTTTTTATATTTCATTGAGAAATCCCCACTGCAAGTATTAGAAAATAACTCGCACAATTATCCATTCAAGGGTAGGTGTGGATCACGGTTATATTGTAGAATGATAGTATCATCCATCCACATCTACATACAAATAATCGCTGTATGTAACGGGACACAATTCTGTCAAATTTTTGCCGCTAAAACTAAAGAATAACTATACATAATGAATGACAAGATGAATCAAAATTCTGCTGTATGATCAGAATGTTGTCAAAATTCTGCAATCAGCGAAATTCTAAACAGAATTTTGATTTAGAAGTAGAAATAGTGATGTATATCTATATATATGTGTGTATAGAAGCACACTGAACTAATTTGAAGAACTAGCAAAATTCTTGAATGTTAGTTGTGATGAATTCTCCCACTACTGGAATTCTTTGGCATAGAAATAATTAAATGAAATTAAATTGAAGAAAAAAAATCATAATTTTCTTTTAGAGAAATAAAAATGAAAACATATACTGCATAATACATTCACATCACATATGGTTGAAATATATTGCATGTGTTGTATAAGAATGTGTCATATGGTTGCTGAACAAATTTGCCGCACTTCTGAGTGTTATACATTCTATTGCAAAATACGATACATGTGACAAATTTTAGTATGTATGAGAAATCGCTGACGAACAAGCAATAAAAAAAAATATTTTTCAAGCTAGATTGTTCGTTTGCTATGCCGACATGTCACCTGGAATATATTACCGACCAATAAAAACCTTAGAAGAATGTGTAAAAATACAGAAGAAAAAGAAAAAAAATGTATTTTCTTTTCATAAGCGAGAACGGCCTATTCTAAGCAGATGTACATTATTTTTTTCTTTCCTATTCATTGACACGCATTTTCACTCCTTGAAATTGTTTCAATCATCGAAACAAAAAGAATAAAACGTTGATCACATTATAGAGTACGTGTGACAGTCGATGAATTGTTTTTTTATAAAAAAAGGTTCACCGTATGTCTATTAAAGACATATTCAAAACAACCATGTGTTTTGAACAGAAATTTTGAGATAAATAAATTATCTATAGTTTCTAGAATCTAGCCTTTTCGTGAGTGTGGATGCTATATTTAAATGTGGCTCTGTATTTTAGTTCATTATACATTCTATTGAAAATTTCTTATTAAGTTCTTGAGTTTTATTCTCAGACTTTTCATTTGATTTTGATTAAATGAAATGTCTGGAATGCTTAAAAGCCATAAGGTATAATTATACGAAAGCTTATTCTGTATCCTTTACAACTTTGTATATTTAGATAATAAAAAAAAAAACACTTAGTGGTATATTTTCTTATTTTAATAGTAAAGAACAAGTAAAAATGTTGAATAATGGCAGTACGAAAGGTAAGTCAGAAAGTCAAAACGATCGATAACAGTGAAGAAATAATTGTATTTCTAGTTTCATCGACAACACGTATATTTGCTCCACTTAACATTCCATGGCATCGTCGTCGTGAAACATTAACTGTTCTCTTTTGTTTCTTACTGCCATGGTTGTCTGTCTATTTAACAATTCGTTTTCTTCGTGCTGATCGTTGGTATATATTTGGAAGTTTTCTTTTCTATCTAATATGGATGGCTATGATTCGAACTTATCCTACTAAAGGTGGTTGTCGAAAACAATGGTTTCGTCGACTTTTTCTATGGAAATGGTTTGTTGGTTCGTATAGAATTTGATGTATATATATCTTTTGTATTTTACTCGAATGGTATGTTTAGATTTTTTTCCAATTCGTTTACATAAAACATGTGATTTACCGGCTGATCGTTCATATATATTCGGTTATCATCCACATGGAATTATTTCTGTAGGAGGTGTTGGTAATTTTGCAAGTGAAGCTACCGGTTTTGAAAATTTATTTCCTGACATTAATCTTCGTTTGCTTGTGTTGAACTCAAATTTTCAAATACCATTTTTTGAACTTATTTTAATGATGCTAGGTATATGTGATGCATCAAGAGAATCATGTAATTATATTCTAAAACAAGGTAAAGGAAATAGTATTCTATTAGTTATTGGTGGTCCGCTAGAATCATTAGATGCACGTCCATCTTCGGAATATATATTGACACTTAAAAATCGTAAAGGTTTTATTAAAATGGCTCTTGAAAATGGTGCAAATTTAGTTCCTGTATTTTCATTTGGTGAAAATGATCTATTTGAACAGATTTCGAATCCACGTGGATCAAAATTACGGTCCATACAAATTACTCTTCAAAAAAAGATGGGCTATGCTTTACCATTATTTTATGGACGTGGTATTTTTCAATATAAATTTGGAATTTTACCCAGACGACATCCGATTGATACATATGTTGGTGAACCGATTGAAGTACCAAAATTATCTAAAGAACGCATAACACAAGAAATCATTGATGAATATCACATAAAGTACATAGAAGCATTAACACGTCTTTTTGATACACATAAAGCCAAACATAATAATGCAAATGCATCACTTGTTTTCGTTGATGATCCTAGTAGATAGATGAACATGAACTTGTTGTTTCGTTTTATATTGAATAATTAATTTGTATTTTTTTTCTCTATAAGTTTTTGACATGAGAGTGTTGACATACATTTTATCTACATAGTTATCATTCGTTTTTCTTGTTTTCTTCTTTTGATTTTGACTTAATGTTTTATTCTTAAAATAGTCTAATCACTAAATTCATAATTAAATGTCTTAACAAAGAACTCACAATCATATCATACAAGTGAATAGAAATTATCAAATTCAATTTTAATCATATAAAGCTTCAAGATTATCGATTGTTCGATCCTTTCATTAAGAGATGCTTAGTTCTAGTTATGATTGATTCTAATTTTTCGCAATTGACTATTATAGAAATCAATATGAATTGAACTTTGAATTGATGAGAAATCATCAGTATTTCAGAATAGGAAGTGATCTCTTTACACAGATAACTATTTTAACAATAACTTTACATGTAATCGAGTAATGAGAAATTCTAGCTTCGATTTTTCTATCAAGGAAAGCTTCTGTGGCAATATAATGACATTTTGTTACGACTGACTAACATTATCTGAATTTCATTAATTAAAATGTGTTACTAATTATTCAAAACTGTGAAGTACTTTTCTCAGACTACGAATCAATATCTTTAAAGATCTACAATGAAACTCTTTTGAAAAAGTATTATTTAATGAAAAAATTTGTTTCTGAACGAGAGTATCAAATTCAGATCTTCGCTATTAGTTGTTCAGTCTGTATAGTGGTTGCATCTCTATCAAGCTCTAGCCAAAATCGATTGCGATCAATATCAGACTGATTCAAATTACGGTTTGAATTGATACCGATTCATAGTCCAGTCGACTCCAATCAATTCGAATTCTCGCTTTGGAATGAGAATTGGTGTATTCCCATCAGAGATCGAAACGAATCGAACTTTTCCAATTCGAGTTCGGTTAGAGTCAATAAAAAACCGTTCGAATAAGCTGTACCTTAGTAATTTTAACCATTGATATTTATTTATTTTGATTACTCTTCAATTGCTGAGTCTTTTCGAACAAATAAAAGTACACAATTGAGTTTTCAAAGATGTCTATTCAAAACTACCACCAGACCCGAATCGAATTGTGATTGTATGATTTGGGCTTGGCTTACTTTCGATCTCTGATCCCTATGCCTATTTCCATTTCATTTACTAGCATTTCAGTATATGTTTAGCATTCATGTATTTTTCATCCTCCTCGATCAATATCTATTACATACAATATCTTCTGATAGTTTTGAACAAACCAATTCATTCACTCACTTCTATGCTCGATGATTCACATCAATGAAAACTTAATAATAATTCATGAATAAATGTCGGTGCCTAACTGTATAATATCGGTTTGACTTTCTTTTGTAGTATTTTGTAGTTGAATTTTATTGACAAATTTCAAAATTTCTACTAAAAACGATTGTGAACCACTGTAGAAATACTCATGTTTGAGCTGATTATTCTACAACTTTATTGTTGGATTTTAGGACTTTGTGAATGATGCACTACAAAATGTTATATTTAAAGTCACTTTATTTTATAGAGATGTTATTTTTATCTATGTACAAACAGATAATTCAAGTGTTAATGTTGAGCAAATATTTTTAGAATATACGTAGTATTTCTCTGAAAATTTTTGGAACGCGCATGTTTGCACGAATATCTTTTTTTTCTTAGATTTTCTAAATTATCAGTACTATATCTAATCGTATCAATTTATTTGTATCCATTTTATTTGAATTCAAATAATTTCATTCATATGTCGAAGTCAATATCATATAGAAATGATTTAAAAAGTAAATATTGAGAAAATCATAGATAATTCTATTTTCAATTTGCCAATTTATTAGTACGGAATCGATTATGAGTACTCTGTAATATTTTACTTGATGTTCTAGCTAGTCGGATTGACTTCAGTGAATGAGTCTTTTATAATTTTTGAAAAATTTTTGCTGAATAATGAATCATTTTAAGAATGAATGAATGTGAAGTTGAAGAAAAACCTAATTTCTAGTCATTTCAAGACTCTAAATTTTGTTTGTTTTCGTAGGAAAAAATTACTAGATGAGATGTAAATCTTTTTTTGATGAAGAAGACTCAGCTTAAAACCTTCATATGACAATTTTTCTGTCATTTCTAAACAACTATACTTATAAGATGAACAATAAATCGAGATGTGCGTAAAGTGAAGGCTATAGTACTCGCACTCTATATTTTTATTCGAGAGAAACTTTTTTTATGTGATCAATATTGATTGATCTTCTTCAGTCATATTCGAGTTATGCTATACGTAATACATAGTTATAAATTATGCTTACTCTCTGATAACATAATTCTAAATATTCTATTACTATTGAGATAATCCACTGTTGCAGATGTAGGTATCCGTTGAAACTCGTTGCTTTTCCTTCCAACAGAAGAATTGCTTTTTGAACGTGTACTTTCTATCATTGTTGTCTACCTTGAATATTGTGAAGCACATATCATGGTTTATAATACATTGGTTTGTGAAACTGATCATATAACCATCACTCTAAGTATATAATTAGAATTTTTTTCTTTCAATGAAGTCATGTATAATTAACTAATTGGATGGATGATTAGGAAAAAATCTAAATACTACGACAACCGGACCCGCTAGAGAATTTTTTGAACTCAAAGATCAGGGATTCATTTTTTATGGGTTCGGATTTGAACCGAACTCGTAAAACTGTGTTCAATTGTCTACTATAAATCTGATTGTTGCTCGAGGATATGTGATACATTTGATTTGTTTTTTCTTGTTCCATGGATAACATTGTCTACATTTTGTTTAAACAGTCAGATACCGCAGCCGTAGGAATAAAATTACAATTGATTCTCATCTCACGTCAATAGCTTCTGATGGAAGAAACAATGCGTACAAAACAAGTGATGATCATGATTATTGTTTGAATATTATTGAAAGTGTAGACAATAGTGAAGAACCAGATAATATTTGGTCTGATTTATAGATTTATCATTGCAACTATGTTTGCATATTATAGTCAGGAAGAACTTTATTGTTTTTTTCTATTTTTTCAAAATAAATTCAATATTTTTGGAGTAAGATGAACAAGAATTTAAAGAAATTTCAAAAAATTTCTAATACGAATCTAAGTTTTTTTCAATGCGGAACTGACCAATAAAAATCTTCAGACCCGGATCCGACGGACTCTAATCTGAGGGCACTGAATGATTTGCAATTCAAGTCTTTGGATTTACCAGCCATTGTTAAACGTTATATGAAATATATTCTATGACAATACCAAAGACCCAATTATAGCAGTATGTATTCTAATATAGCCAAACGTCGTAATTCAGCTATGAATCCAATCATTCTTCTTCAGAATGATTTCAATGATGGACAAACTCTTGACTTGGCTCCATTTCAAGTGAATATTCAAGCATTAATGACTATGGGTTTTAATCAAGTCAAAGTCTTGGAAGCATTATTAATCACAGAAAACAAAACAGTTGAGCTAGCAATTGAATTATTAGTCCTGATCCCCGCTGCATATGAAATTAGAAAGCAGGAAACTATTGCAAGATTAGGAAAATCTATTAAATCTAATAATAATTCTAATAATCATAAAATAAAATGAATGCATTATTATCTTCAGAACGTTTAGCCCGTACTCGAGCTGAGACTGAGGTGAAAAAACCTTTGGATAATTTTGATCGAACTATATATAGAGAATTTTTGAGAAGATTAATTGCTGATGAAACTATATCGGTAGCTACATATGAAAAATTAAGATTATACAGGGTGTCCCAAGAGTTATGATCACTTAAGAATTGCGTATAACTCAATTATTAAGCAAGTTTAATCTAATAAGTTTTTTGTTTAAAAAAGAAGACCAGCAAGTTTTTTTCATAAAGACGAAACTCTAAAATACTCTTCAATAAAAATATATTTGACCTCAACACAAAAATTTAGACGTTTAATATTTTCAAAAAAAGACATCATGCAACATTTTATTTTTATTATATGAATTTCTTTTGGTATTCGAGTTGTTAAATTATAGAGGACTTTTACAGTTGTTTTGTAGACATTTGGTTTGAAATAGACGCATAGATAGAAGTCCAAATATGTCAAGTCTAGTGATCGAGAGGCCCATGATATTGGTCCACTTTTTCCAATTCACCTGTCATGAAAGATTGAGCTCAGCCACACACGGACGGATTTCGAAAAACGAATTGATACTGTATCTTGCTAAAAAAATCATAGTTACTTAATCGATTCTTCTGTAAAATTCGATTAAAGGAATTCTAAAGCATTTCTAAATAATTGTCTTAGATTAGTATTTTATCATCGATGTGAGGCGAATCGAAAAAGTGAACCAATATCATGGGTCTCTCGATCACTAGACTTGACATTTTTGGATTTCTATCTATGTGTCTATCTCAAACCAAATGTCTGCAAAACAACTGTAAAAGTTCTCTATAATTTAACGATTCGAATAACAAAAGAAATTCATATGATAAAAATAAAACGTTCCATGATGTATTTTTTGAAAATGTAAAACAATCTAAATTTTTATATTAAAGACAAATATATTGTTATTGAATAGTATTTTAGAGTTTCGTCTTTATGAAAAAAAACTTACTAGTCTTCTCTTCTAAATAAAAAGAAACTATTAGACTAAACTTGCTTAATAATGGAGTTATACGCAATTCTAAAGTGATCATAACTTTTTTGGGGATACCTTGTAGAATTTCCTAATCCGAGAACAAATAGTCAATTGATTGATGGTTACTCTATTATTGCACTGCCAAAGCTAATTGAACTCAAGTTATCATCTTTTATACGTTTTCCTGTATATCATGGTCAGGCTCAAGCTGACGTATTGCTATCGATAAGAATTCGAAATCTTGACAAATCATTTGCTAAATTTCTTCATCGATATGTCCAAAATGAATTTAAACAATTGATTAATATGCTTGACAAGGAAAAGCAAAATTGGATATAAGGACGAAATACGAAAATTTCATTTACATTTATTTTTTCAGTAAATTGTGGAAAAACGAAAGATTAGAAAAAATTTCTATAATGAAATATACAATCAAA